TAGATTAGCTCCTAGATTAGATTGGCTCTCTTGGAGTGTTCCTTTAGTGCAGAGCTCTTTAAACCTGGTCCTCAGGACCCATTGTCTTGCATGTTCCAGACAGTCTCTTGTCCTACACACCTGAGTCAAATATATGTATTCCCTCCTTATAGCAGTCTTTAAGGGCCGAGCCCTGTTACAGGTATCACATAGTGATCTAAGTCAGGTGATAGGGACTAACTTAAAATATGCAGGGGATTGGGTCCTTAGAACCAAAGTTGAAGAACCCCTGCTTTAGTCCAGACATGCATGCCCAAAGTTGGTCCTCGAGGGCCACTGTCCTGCAGGTTTTAGACGTTTACCACCTCAGTACAGCTGATTTCTATTGATAACGCTGATTGTCTTTGGCTGAACTGCAATGGTCAGAATCAGCTGAGCTGAAGTAGGAAACTCTCTAAAAACTTGCAGGACGACTTTGGGCAGTCCTGGTCCAGATTAACTGTTTCTGAGGCCTAACGCTATCTGCTATTTCAATCTGAAAAACTCACATGAAGAGAAAAGACAGTTAGAAGAACTTTATTGATACAATTACTTTGTCTCTGGCGCTCAGTCCTCGGCAGGAAACATAGCGCTGAATTTTGATAGATATGCATGAACAGGAGTAAAGAATAAGGCTGTTTCCCCCCCAGGCCTGAAACTGGTGGTGGGTTGGAGATAGATTGGGTTAGTCAGTCTATAGACTGCTGGTTAGCGAGACGGTATGCTGAGCTTTATGGGGAGATCCAGTGGACTGCGTGAGCTGATAGTGAGCTTCACTGAGGGACCTGGAAGATGGAAGTCCAGCTTAGATAACACAGGATGAGAGTACCTGTCCAGGATGAGCAAACATGAAGTGAGAGTGGAGAGGAAAAACTCCCTGTTTGGAAGAAACCTATGGCAGAACCAGGCTCAACATGGCGGTCTTCTGCCAGAGCGGTTGAAATGAGATGCGGAATGCAGTAAGAGTCCAGAAATAATGACACTCTGATGAAGTTTTAGCTACGATGGTGGAGGAGGGGCTGGAGCTGGATTGAAACGGGGTAATCTCTGCGCACTAGGAGCAGACAAGACGAGGATCGGAGGCATTTTAAGATGAACTTTGGATGCCGATTGGCTTTCATGGAGGTGTGATTCAAAGCTGATTGGCTGTGTCATAGGTGGATATAGGAGAGCAATCAGTTTCTTCAGTTGAACTTCAGCCTTGGCTCCATTCTAAAAGCAGCTTAAACCAAATTGGGCTTATACTGTGTTAAAACAACTACAACCCCTAAAGCTATGGTTTACATAGAAACAAGTTCCCTAAGCTTTATGACATTGTCTAGCTTGAGTTGGGTTCATGTTTATGCAGAAGTTTCTACTCTGAGTAAAGCCAACTAACAGAAACAAATCCAAGACAGTAACATACAATTAAAAGAAAAATAATCATAATTTGATGTTTTACATGTAAACCGGTACCAAAATCCTGATGAAGATTCTCAGTCATCCAGGTCATAGTCGTTCCAAAAAAGTTGAAAAACAATCCTGTAATACAGGCTAACAAAGAAACAAAACGACCCCCATTCTGTCATGGTCTTGTTTCTGTTGTGTTTCACATTGCTCCTTGTTTTCTAGATTTATTGGTTTAATTCCTATTTTGTTGTAGTTTCTAGATTTATTTTCTCAGGTTTTTCTGTTGTTTTCCTTTGTTGCCCTCTTGTGTGTGTTCCTTTCCCCTTGGCTCCCTCGTTGTCTCCTCTCACACCTGCTCCTTGTCAGCTCGTTAACCCTGCCTTTGTCTCAGTCAGCATTTATACCCTCCCTCTGCTGTCACTCCTTGTTGGTTCCTTGTCTTTGCTGTGCTCCCATGCTGTTGTCCACCTACCTCGTCTCTCCCAGGCTCCTCGTGTTTGGTTTCCCCAGATGTCTCCATAGTTCTTGTTTGCTTTTCATTATTAGTTGGATTTTTGCATTCCTTTCTTTGTTTACTGTTTGCCTCATTAAACTACAAGAAATCTCCTCAGCCTCTCTGCCTCTGCATTTGGGTCCTCAAACCACAACCAAACCTTGACACATTCATCAGGTTTAATTTGCATGTTTCTAAGTCAAAACAATGATTTGCTTTGGTCCATTCTATAAAGACTTGAACTCAACGCTATTTCTGATATTTTTAATTGAAAAAGCTGCCTGGATGGAAAGAAAAACATATTCAAATTTGGAAACAAAGACCAGTGGATTGTTTTTTTTTACTTTTTTGGAACCTGTACCAAAACTTTGCATCAAGACTTGATAACTGTGGAATAAACCTTGATATATTTTATTGTAGAATTTATGTCCTTTAAAGGTTTTGTAAAACCTTTATGGGTTTGACAGCAAGTAAAATTTTAGATCATCAGATCTGCAACCCCTCCACCTGATTTTTATAAATTTGACAGCACCTCTAATAAACTGGATTTTAAAAATTCTGACCCCAAACCCCCACCCCAACCATTGTAAAGCAGTCCTTGCTCAGTTTTACCACCAATTTCTTCACGGTTTCAGACTGAAACACATTGTAGACCTCTGATATTGTTTTGTTGAGTAGACTGTTTTGTTGAGTATTATCCTGTTTTATTTATGCGTGAAGTGGTTTCTCTATGCATCCGTATGTGTTCAGTATGTGTTTCACACAATAAAATTATATTGCTGCAGTTCAGACCTTCATTTCCCACATTAACAGTTATTGTCCTCTCAGTTAATAACCACTTAATATCACAATGGTTTAGAGTAAATAAAAAATATGTGAGTGTAATATTAATAAAGAGAATATAATTATGAAGTTTAAAATACAATGGTAGAAGTCTACTTTTGACTTGGCCTCTACTGTCCAAGCTTTAGCTTTAGTCCCTTCGACCAAATAATCTAAATCTACAAAAAAAGAAGATGCGAGGGGAATTATCTAATGCTGATAAGCAATTAAATGCTTTTTTCTGACCCTCATATTTAAAGATACTGTGCTATTTCTTTACGGACTTGAATGAAATGTTGTGTTTCATTGTCTTTTTTTAATCTCTCACCAGATGGATTTCTTGTGCCTGTTGGATTGACAGCATGCAAAGGTTTTATAGCTGGAATATCAAAGTGAGTGAGCGTTTGTTCAGAGGGCTGCGTTGGTCACAGGGAGTCCCTTCATCTCTTTCTACTCTCGCCAGAATGAGTGTTTATAGGATTTTCATCTCATTTTCTCCAGTGTTAATTTGTTTCCATGAAGGCAGCCATGACACATTCTCTCCTTCTCCTCAGCCTTCTTGTGGCTTTGTTTTACAGATCTGTGAATTTCTTTCTATGTCTTTTGAAATGAGTAGAAGACCAGACTAACTGCTGCTTTCACACAGCTATTTGGACTCTGAGGATGATCATCAGTAATTTCTCTCCATTGTTTCCCTTCCCACAGCATCTTGTATCCAACCCCTGCTATTGCGCACAACTTTAATATACTTCTCACCGTATTGTTAGATTTTTTGAGTTATAGTATTATGGTTTATTTGAACGAGAGGATAGAAGCAGTGTGGAGGAACTCAATTTCTCATGCCTCTAAAGAAGTCTCACGTTTCCAGTTTTGCCAGCGTTGTACTCCTCCCTCCCTGTGGCTCTCTTTGGCAAGCAGAAAATGCCACCTCTGTCATCATCAGGATTATATAGAGCTCATTTGGCTTTGATTAGAAAACCATTAAAACACAAACGTGTTGGTGACTGACCTGTGACCTTTCTCATCATGGGACAGGCAAAACCGGTCCCTCACTTTTCCTCTCAGGCTCTTTGGACCCCTCGGGGTCTGGGTCAGGGTTTGGTAGTGTTTGTGCTGTCTTTCTGTCAGACATGCATGATCCACTGCCACTTAGCAAGAGCAGGAAGAAAGGGGGCTGATAAATAGGCTACTTCCGGGCCCAAGGGTTTATTCATGCAATGCAGTGGATTACGTTACGGCTTGCAAACAAAGACCCTACCTCCTTTTATTTAAGAAACATTTGTTGGGGTTAGTATTCAAGGGAACTTTAAGTGTCAATTTCCAGAATGAAAGTTTGCAAAAAGCCTTTTGGGTGTCCTGACCATGTCAGACTATCACTGTACTTTGCTTGGAAATAATTACCCAGAATGCAAAAAGAGAATTTTTTTGAGTCAATATTTACTTTTAGTTTCCACCCACTGATGAGGATCATATTAAGGAACAAATTATACTTTTATTACTATTAATTAACAGGTATTTCTTTCTGGTTTACATACATTTAAAAGCAAAATGCTACATTCTAAGACATACAAGTTAAACAAGTTATTCTTTTACTTTCTTAGTCAAAACCAAACCTAGTGTTTGACATGAATTGTCCTGCTCTTACAGTGATAAAAAAAAAAGGTATAATACTAGTGTTGCACCATCATCAGCATCAAGAGTGTTGCCATTTTCTGGCCCCCGATACCAATACCCAATACCTGGCTGTGCAATACCTGGCCGATACCGATACCATACTGATACCATCTGTTTAAATCGATGTGTGTGTGTGTATATATGAAGAACTGCATACTACTTGGATGTAAAATTTACCGTCATGGCTTTGTCAATCTCCTGCATACCTTTATGAATCAGGAGAAAGACTAATACATAGTGAATCCAGTTTAACTTTTTATTGCCTACCTGGAATGGGTGACAATAGTTGAATAAACGTTTGGCTCTCAAACTGGTATCTGTGCCCTATTTGTTGGTACTTTATGCTGCAAGTTGTTGGGGGGTTAGTCCCTACCAGATTTGCATATTTACCTGTTTGACTGATATTCTGCAGCTATAGTTGGTGTCTTCTCCAAGATTCTCATGTAATTCCCAACAAACCTGCTGTAACAGGAGTACCCGGAGCATGAATATACTAACAACATTTTTTGCCATTATGATGGAGGATTCCTTTAAATATGGAGTGGTTGTTCTTGCCACACAATATTAAGCAGATTAAGATGCTGGCTGATTAATACAACTACTGTAGTTGCACAGGATTTTATTTTTCAGCATCAAAGTAAATACATGCCACACTTACCAAATTTTTCGTTCATCTTTCTTCCATTTGACAATTAAATCCAATTAATTATAATCAATACACAGAGGTTTGTGATTCTAAGGTTACAAAATTTGGAATAACTCAACGGACATCACTACATTTGCAATTCCCCACTGTATGTCCCATGTATTGCCTCCTTCTTCTTTTTTATTTGAAGTTAGATGGCCACCACCTTTCTTTGTGGGGGAGTTCCTGTGAATTCTCCATCTGGACTGACCACAGCATTTTTGAAGCAAGTAGAGACCAGAGCAGGTGGAGGTTGGCGCAGAATGACAATCTGAATACAAGGTCCTACATGTAGCAGATCATTTAGCTCTTCAAGGGTAGCGTTGACCACAGACACCCCATTCACCTCCATCAGTCTGAGGGAAAAAAATTGATATAAGTTAAAGCTCTAACCTACATCTACAAGCTAAACTTTGATTTTCTTCTATTCAACTGTATTAATTTTTTCAAAAAATCCATTCTCTTCATTTTGTAGAATTTCTCTTGGTTGTGCTGCTTCCATTACATTTATGTGGTTGCTATATTTGTGTATCAAGGAGAGGATGGCTGGGGACCATGTATTATGAGATTTTGGGGAACAACCTCCTTCAGTTAGAGCATTGAAGGTGGCTCAAGGCTGGGTCTTCCAACATGACAATGACCCAAAGCACACAGCCAGGATAACCAAGGAGTGGCTCTGTAAAAAGCATATCAAGATTCTGGCGTGGCCTTGCTAGTCTCCAGACCTAAACTCAATAGAGGATCTTTGGGCGGAGCTCAAACTCGTGTTTCTCAGGAGGGACCGCCCAGAAATCCTGAACGATCTAGAGAAGATCTGTGTGAAGGAGTAGGCCAAAATCACTCCTGCAGTGTGTGCAAACCTGGTAAAAAAATGTTTGACCTCTGTAATTGCAAACAAAGGCAACTGTACCAACTATTGACATTGATTTTTCTCACATGTTCAAATACTAAATGCAGCTGTATAATGCAAATAAATAGTTAAAAAAAATCATACATTGTGATCTCTAGAATTTTTCTCTCACAGTAGACATGCACCTACGATGACACTTTCAGACCCCCCTGATTTCTAAGAGTGAGAAGTGAGAACTTGCAAAATACTTTTTTCCCTATATATATATATATATATATATATATATATATATATATATATATATATATATATATATATATTTTTTTTTTTTTTTCATAATCATAATTTTGATCTTTTGATTTTCACTCTTTCACATCCAAGTTTAAAATTACTATGCTGCATGTTTTGGGGCTATTACTTAATGGGTCTCCATGGCTACTTAGTGTAAAACAAAACACAGATGAAAGAAATGGGTGAGATGAGTAAAACGTGCTTTCACTTGCCAAAATGAATCTATAAAGACACTTTACTCAATAATCTTGGATTATTAGCTCAATACAGTTTTGTTATTTTTGATTGTTACTTCATTACCTGTCCTCCACACAGAGGTGAGAGTTGTCTGCCTTGACCACCACCAGGCCACTGCCATCTCTATGGCAACACTTAAAGCCATAATGTCCGTCAGGAAGCTGCTTCTCCTGCACCACCATTAGCATGGCTGGAGACTGAGGGGTCACAAGCTGACCCAAACTGCTAAAGTCTGAAGTCTTTTTTTGAGCTTTCTCCTGAAAGGACATGAAGCAAAAAATGCTATATCTGCAGATTTGCACAAATGCATGCAATAGAAACATACAATCATGTCCACACCTATATTTTAAGAACATACAGATCTGATTAGTAGATTCTTACCGCCTGTTTCAATACTTTGTAGTGTCACCTGCTAATTATCCTGCAAGTATTTTAGATTATGTCTCAACCAGTTCTGCACATAGTTTTTGGTTATCCTTTTATAACTTAAGCTCAGTTCAACTGGATGCAACTAAATTGCTCTATATTTAGTGTTGTTGTCCTGACAGAAAGTAAACCTTTTAATCAGTTATAATTGTTTTGTAGCTGGGTGTACCTCTCATAAATACTTTATATTTAACTTTATCCAGTTTTCCCTTTAACCCTTACACTTCTTTGTTCCTGCTGGAGAAAAGCATCCTGGCAGCATGATGCTGCCACTACCATATTTTGTGTTGATGCAGGTGTTCTCATTATCTGTCTAAGAAAGTTTCTAGATGCACCTAAAAGTGCTGCATGATTTATTATAAGCTTTTTTTTTTTACTTCCTGGAGAAAAATCTTTGCACACACACAAACAAAAAATGTCACTGAGCTTGGGGAATTCCATCACAAAGCTGATAACTATTAATGTCAGTTTAGCTCTCAGAACAAATCTCTATTTATGTGGTGACAGAGGCACTCTGACTCTTATTGTTGTATAAACTGTCAGTTAGACCTGTTACATACTACTGAGTTATGAAAATAATCCAGCTATCACCTCCTTAAGTTAAACACACCACTACAGTACAAGAAAGTTCCCAAGAGATAAATACTGTGCCTGCGTCAAAGTCAGTCGACCACCAAGATATAATGATTAGCTCTAAAAGAGATCATGCCACAAGTAGCTTGCAGGAATCAGAAATAACTTGTGAGTCTGACCACTGAATTCCAACGGGCCCTTTATCCAGCCTCTTGGCATACTCCTCTCTTCCCCCACATGGCGTGTGAATGCCTTGCAGCAATAGCTGCCGCCTTGCAAGGGTCAGGGGTCAAAGCTAAAGCTTCTGTCTCTGTAGACAAGTGGGCCAGACAGGATATATCAACGGAAACGCAGCCAAAGCCCCTCGACAAAACTCTAATATGCATCTTTTTTCATCCAGCTTGTTCAGTTTTGGTCATACTCCAAGAACCTGAGGACTTTTCTTTTCATATTCTTCTTGTTTGTGCAGGTTTTAATAAAATCCCTGCCTACCTGAGGCAAAACAATGGCACATTTCCACAAATCCAATCCAAAGGCAGTAAAAACATCAGGAATTATTCTGCAAAGATAATGAAAGGGAGAAAGATAACCTAGCAGGGGTGCAGTTAATTTAAAACTTAAGATGCCCTAAATCCCTCCATCTAGAAAAAGGACTTACTAAAGGATAAACCCATAATTTTTCAGATTTCCTCTCTACTACTGTCCATCAAAAGTTTTTAAACCATCAAAGCTAAACGGCTTATTTAAAGTCATTTCCCATTTGATGTTCTCACCCTTCACCCCTGAGTCTCTCTGTTTTTCTCTGAGCCCCCACTGCCCACCCCCCCTTCCCCTCTCAGCTGCTTTATTGATGCTCTCCAGTTGCAGGCGATCCTGGTGATTAGACTACAGATGATGAAATATTTCCTTATTGTTTGAAATTCAGGGCAGCCTACAAGGACTAAACACTGGGCGGTCTGTTCCTTATTTGAACAGCAGCTCTATCTAGTTCCCAGACTGCTCCTTGGCTCTGACCTGTGTGTTAACTCTGATTAGGTCATATGATAAACATTAGTGCTGCTGCTTTTCCCACAAACTCAGCACCTAAAAAAGTGTGGCCCGGGGGCGGCAATGTGACACGGGGCACCTTTCAAAGCCAAAGCCGCGTGTGTCCTTTCATGGCATCTCGTTAGGGCTTCACCGACGAGATAAAAGAGCCACGTTAAAAAAGAAGGGGAGCTCCACTGGGGGATAGATGCAGATAGTTTTACACATACTGGCCCATTTCTCAATTTCACTCTCCCAGTAGCCTTTGTCACATGCATTCCATTGTTGGTATGGTCACAGGCTCTCAAATGTCAGTGCTAAACATCCTTTTCTCAGTAAACACTGCATGTTCATCTAAATGATTGCTCTGTCTGCTTGTTCTTATAAAAGGAAAGGCTTTATGCTTTTGCTCAGATATATCATCCATCCATTCTTGCAACTCACAGTTGTTAGTTTTATAGAAAAATTGAAAAGAAAGTAGAGAAAAATTTAAGTAAAACAATTAAGCACAAGGTACCTTGGACACCAAAAGTCTCTAAGGAGTAACAGCTTAGTGCACAACACTAAACTCAGACTTTAGTGCATTCATTACACAATAAGATAAGAATTGTGATAGAAAGTGTCCATTTATTGATGATTGAGTAAGGACTGAAATGGAGTAGGCCAGAAGAGACAGCGTCTAAACACAGTATCTTGGAGTCTCACCACACCGGTTCCCGGTTGTATGTTTTATCTGCACATTATACATTTTTACTGCTCCATTTCTGACAGGCATTCTTACTCTGATGCCAACCTACAATATTTGTCATGAAATCTGTTATCATGCAGATTGTGCAGGACATTTGTCTCAATATACACAAGTCTAGGTTTTAAAATGAGCTTAGAGCAACTTATATACATGCAAAATTTGCAAGGGGAGCTAAATATCTAGAGTTTTAATAGAATTTGTTTAGATGTTCTTTCCTCAGTTTAGCTCACACACTGAGAAACTTTGATGTTGCTACAGCTAATAATTTTTCCTGCTAAACTTCATGCTAACAAACAAAACCTATGGTTGCTCCAACAGTCTTTAGACCCACTTCTGTGGCTATACAGTATGTTGTAGAAAAAGAGTAATGTTTCACAATGCAGTTCAGAATATCAAGCATTTTAAATCAGTGGGAAAACAAGGGTTTCCTGGAAAGATGATCATTTACCTCTTTTACGTGTTAACTATATACAGCCCATGCAGAGTAAAAGACTTTTAGACTGCCATTTTGGTCCTGGTGCTGTCACATAATTCCAGTGTTTTCTGGTTTCTTGCTTTAAAATTTTATGATGTATGATCTTTGATACAATACTGAGCCTTTTTGTCAATTCAACAACAGTTTTGATTCATGGCCTCCCTTCTAAAATAGCCATGACCACCTTGTTTTACTCTGCTAACTTGCTTAAGATTTAAACATCCAAGTATACAAAGAAACCTTCACATTGCCTCGCAAATTGATTTATGCACCAGATCAGGAATGTCTGAGAAGAAATAAGGCTAGTTATGCAAGTTTCTCTAAAACAGTTAAGAATAGCTCAAAAGCAATTTTTTGCAAAAGCACCAAATTTGACTGTTCTTGTGCTGAAATGGTCTTATTATTCCATTCCAGACATGCCTCTCCCAGTATCTGCACTTGTTTTGGTGCACATACAGTATCAGTTTCTCAGTGTTTATTTTTGGAAATGAAAACATTCTCCGTCTCAGACGATAGAACTTTCCCACATATTGGTGCCACTGTCATTCGTATGCTGTTGATTAAACTCAACTGACTGAGCCCAAGGCCCTTTCTAAATGTGTGAATTAAACTCTACAATGATACAAGCATTCGATAAAAGGCACTAATTGTACCTTCAGTACCTTCATGCAGCTTCCTTGCCAGGCATTCAGGAGATTAGCAGCTTGACGATTAAGATGTACAATTATAATTTCCTCCTTAAACACTTGGCAGTTTAACTTCATCTTTTCCAGCAAACGAACCTCCAGTTGTCTAAATGGAAGGAGAGCACATTTAATTGACTGTGACAGACGTATATTCATATGGTCACATAAAATTTGCTAAATTATCAGATACAGATAAACATTTTCTACTATGGTTAGAGTCTATTTTAATTTAACATGAGTTAAAGAAGTATAACACACTTTCAATCACAATAATAATAAAAAAAAAGATGCACACATCACTGGGCCCACCAAGGGAATACTCTTAACTTTTATACAATCAAAACAATGTTGGTGTTCTGATAATCCAAGCAGCTGGTGCACGGAGGAGATAGAGATAACAAGACAAGTACATACAAAAGTTTTAGAAAAAAATATAATGGCTAAAAAGATATAACAGATATAAACTTTCTCCTGGAAAAAAATAATATAAAAGGTGTGGGAAATATATGGCAATCTATTAAACAGCTCTAAATTAATAAAAGCTTAATTTACATTTGTGCCATTATGTAAATGAAAATAAGTAGCAGAAATACCTGAACATGAAGACTTGCTTTGGCTAAGATGAGAGTAGATTTAGTATGTGAATAAATCTAAGGGGTTTAGTAATCCTTTTAAATTTCTTCATTGTTTTTTTACTTAAGAAAATAATAAAATCCATGGACAACCTGAAAAGGATTACAGACAATAAAACTTAAGACATGCTTTGAGAAATAGTGGAAATCATTGTGAGGAGAACTATAAAAACTCTACACAAACACACAGTTTTGTATTGTATTTTATGGGAAAACTGAAAAATCTGCACATTGATAACTGACCAGTTTATATAATTCAGTATTGCAAAATTGATGAAAGGCTCATCCTAACAGGAGATTTAAGGGAATGCTCATGCAAGTTTTATTCAAGAAGAACCGTGTTCAACAATATTTTTCATACTGTGATTTAAAAACTGGCAGGGAGTAAAATAAATAAATCTGGAAAGACATGTGTCATGATCTTGTTACTGATGACTGGCTTTATTGCTCATTTCATTCACATGTCCAATTCTGCCTGGTTTTCTCATCACTGCTCATTTGATCTAAGTGCTCCTGCTTCTGTTGCTTGCTCCCAGTTGTCAGTGCCAGATTATTCTTGAGCCTTAGGGAAGAGTTATTCTAGCATTAATTATTATGTTCTGATTTGACTTATCCTAACCTGTTTCTCTCTTCGGACGTTTGAGCCTACCTGCACCTGTTCTGATCTGTTTGCCTGACCTGTCCTTCATCTGTTCGGATCTGTCAGTTCTATGTCCTTAAAGGCTTGGCCTTTTGGAGCTCTCTGTGCAGCAACCACTGTGTCTGGTCAGCTGACCGGCTGACATCCATCTCGTTCTTTGGGCTCTAAAACAGGTTAGTGACTCACAAGTTCAGATTGTCCTTTTTGTGGTCACTAACCTGTGTTTCCCCATTATAGAGTTACCTTCCTTAAGACACCCTAGCTGCTGAGGATACGCAGACTGTGTGGTTTTTAAATAAATGCTTTTGAAGTTATTCCAATGCTTGTCTTGCCTGAATACTGGGTTACTCTTCTGAGTCGTAACAAGATGTAGGTCCAGTAATCCCCTTAAAAAAAAATATTAAAAGATCCCCAACAGAGAAAAACAGAGGCTAACTAGATAAAAGGAATGTGCTTTATTTTTATTTATAAGCTGTTACTCTTTATCTTCCATGGGAAATGTGGTAATATTTTGATATTTATCTGCTAGCAAATTCTAAAAAGCCTATTGATACAGTACTTAAATGTAAACACACATGTTGTGTCACACTTGTGTGGACTTTCCATAGACTTCCATTCATTTATCACTCATTTCTATGCCCTGACCCTAACCCTGACCCTAACCATTACCAACATATGCCGAAACCCAAACCTAACCTAAACTCAATTCATACCTCAGTCCTTAACCTCATCCCCATCCCTCGAAGAGAACATTTCCTCATGGGAAACAGTCATTGTTCCCCGCAACTACCTATACATTCCCAATATGTAGCCTATTCCTGGGAAATTGTCTCCAATATTTAACAGACACATGGCCACACACACTGCTGTTAAAGAAATCTATGCTATCACTAATAAATGTCAAAACAGCTTTATGGATCTAGCTACTTCCTTTTTCGAATTTTCAAACAAATATCAGCACAAAACAAAATCTCACTAAATAAAAAAAATAAAAAAACTCAAAAAAACTTTAATTCAATTTAATGAAAGAATTTATCAAAATGGAAATAATACAAATTCAAAGTATCTCTATAGGACAAATTAATGGTCTATTATTATTATATAAAAGGTTCTTATGTGACACCTTGTGTCATAATCTCTCATCAAGTTTAAAAGTGTTAAAGTGTTATAGTTAATCTTTGAACAACTGTTTGATATCAGCCACAATGGAGGGTTTTCGAATATTAACTGATTATTTTAACCCTTTCATGCCTGGACTATCCTTTCTACATTAAATCATGTTTTACCTCATGATCCAAGTGAGGTAGAGATTATATAAACTGACAGGCAACCCCTGTCGTTTAGGATATCTGCTGGAGAACAGAATTCCTGGTTATTCCCGGCCAGGCCTAAATCAGCCACGCAGCCTCAGATCGTCACGCTGTCACCAGATTATATAAATTGCCGTTCTCAATTTTACACCAGATGTAACAAGGCACAAACCTAAAAAGTTGATTTTATACATCAGATGGGATCTGTTTAATTGTTTTGAGCAACACAGGTTTGCCAGTTATATAGTCTGGGTGTGCCTTGGTAAATTGAATAAAAATATCTAGTCAATCGTTGTTTCATAATTCTAGAAGAAGAGTGATTATACTTTTTACAGGGACTGAATAGTTTGGTTACATTTTTTTCTCTGAATGAATGAATTCATCATTTGAAAATAGCTTTTTATATCTTGCTCTGCAGCAGGCAGCACTGCTGCCTTGCAGCAAAAAGGTTGTGGGTTCGATTCCCGGCCCTGGGTCTTTCTGCATTGAGTTTGCATGTTCTCCTTGAGCATGTGTGGGCTCTCTCTGGGTACTCTGGCTTCCTCCCAAAAACATGACTGTTAGGTTAATTGGCTTCTCTAGATTCTCCTTAGGTGTGAGTGTGTGCGTGAATGGTTGTATATGCTGTTTGTCTCTGTGTTGCCCTGGCAACCTGTCCAGTGTGTAACCCGCCTCTCGCCCGTAGACAGCTGGAGATAGGCACCAGCACCCCTCGCGACCCCAATGGGGACAAGCATGTCAGATAATGGATGGATGGATTTTAGCATGATATAAAGACAGAAAGAAAATAAATCTAATAAAAGGGAAGGTTCTTTTTGTACTCTCTTCAATATTGTAAAAGAAAATGATTTCATTATTTCTGTTTTTTTTTTGTTAATGACATGATTATCTCTCATATCAATTAAAAAATTAGTTTTGATGTTTCAAATAATCAAGTAAAATGCTTTATTTCTTGACTGTAAAAATGTAAAGCACACAGAGGTGTCTCTTAAAGAGGAGAGTTTCTTGTATGATTGTATTCTGAGGTCAGAGCACCTTTACAAAGATATTTCACCTACCTGCTTTTATGAGCGGCTGAGTTGTTGTCCCTGAGGATCTGCAGCCTCTGCCTTTTCTCCTCCAACTGGCTGTTAACCATCTCAAGCCTCTGTTTCAGCTCAGCAGAACCCAGCTTGTCCAGGTTAGCATTTGGATCCATGTTCTTTATCTCTGCGCAAAATGCTACCAGGTCGTGGTGAAGCTCCTGGACCTTCAGGAGTGAAATGTGCCACTTAACTATAGTCCTTACTATTAATGAAAAGCTGTATTTGCATTTTAAAATGGAGATTCAGACCTGCAGGATGACATTCTGCAGAGAGTCCACTTGTTGGTTTAGCTCCTGGATTCTCTCTTCTTTTCCTGGCTGGTTCACCTGGGTGTTTTTGTTGATGTTGCCTTTTTCACTATCAATTTCTGGACTTGGTTGTGATATAGAAATCAATTGCTTGTCCTGTAATTTAAGAGGGAGTTCAATGTTTTGCATGCTGTAAAAAGTGTAAATGCAATGTCAAATTTCAGGACCTTTTTACACAGATGCAGCTCCAGCTGTGTGTTCTCTAAAGGTGTTTTCAGTAAGACTCCTATTTGCTGGTCCAGGGAGAGCTCATCAATGGAATCTGTAATGAAAACACTCAATTATATCAAGACTCTTGTTCCGTTATTAAACTGTATGCCTTTTAAAAATACATGGAATGTGCCTGGTTAGTTTTGCACCTTGCTTTTCTTTTAGTGTGAATAGGGTCTTATCACCATCCGGTCCAAGCATTTTCATACACGAGTCCATGATTTTTCCCACTGTTGTTTCCTTTGGAGTTCTGAGATGAACAATACGCTCTGATGCTGCAAGATATACATGACTCTTGAGTTATTTAAGATATTTAAAATTAAACAATAATTCATCAAGAAAGCTCAAAACTGCTGAGCAGACATTAGAATTATGTTGCTTCTAGGGCCTTGCAAAAGGATTCATACCCATCGTGCCTTTTTTTACATTACAACCCCACATTTAATGTCAATTACTTTAAAATTACGAGATTGACTACAATATTTGAAAAGTACAGTTTTCAATTTCATCCAGCCACAATGAAGTAAAGAACCAATTTTACAGTGGCGAGCCTTCTAGATACAGTATGTCTCCACTAACCTTCCAGATGCAGAAACTCTTTTTTTTTCTTGTTTTACAAAATTGCTAAGCTTTAGGCAGGTGGGATGGAATGTCTGTAAACATCCTCTTTTTAAAATATACTTGCTACATATCAGTTTGATTTGGATCTGGAGTTGTGACTAGGCTATTCCTTCTTCTCCGGCTGAATGTTTGGATTTTTTTGTCTGAGGGGTCAAATTTATCTTCCTATTAATTCTGGACCCCCCCAATGCATGTGATATATGTGATGAAGGGCTTGTACTGAAACTGAAATGTCAATTGCAACGCAAATTTTAGTTGACAATAAAGATTAATTGAGTGATTGATTGAGTCATTTATATCTCCCCCCACAGCATCAAGCATCAGGAAGTTCATATTTTGAACTAGGCCATCATTTCAGCTGACAAGACGGCCTGTCTGCATGGTTGTATTCGCATACATGGCAATGAATGGACAAAATGCAAATGAGACGACATATGGTTTCCATAAAAAAAAAAAAAAATGTTTTTCTTCCTGCTTTTTCAAAAATGCCACAATTGGTTAGAAAATTTTAATTGAATTAAATTTTTATTTAAGACATAGATTGTAATACACACAAAAAAATGTCTTTCAACAGATTCCCCCACCTAAGCTAGTGATCTATGCTTTCTCTGTCCTTGCTGTTTTTTAGTTATTTTTTAGTTATTTCATGCTCTTTTTAGGTGATGGGTTGAACAGTAATCTAAGAGATATTCACAGTTTTGAAAGGTTCTAAAAAACTTTATCCCTGACCTTGCAGGTGCCGCTTGGAGTTCATGATGTTGTTTGTTTACTAGATTTCTTTAACAGAAATTATACTGAAACCATATTACTTTCAGATGGAGTTTAATTACTGATGGTTGGGGGCAGTTAGTAGCTTCTTTTTTCTATTAAATACAATTTCAATAAATCATAAAAGTTGGCAATATGGAAAACTGTGTACAAGTGAAAGGTGTGAAAATACTTATGTGTCTCTTTGTCATTTATGTTCCTGTTAATAAGATATTCAGTATTTAGGTCTAGAACAACTTTGTTGACTTACCATTAATTGTGATCTCTATCATCTGTGAACTCCTTGATGTCGTAAGGTTTTGACTGTTGTTTCTGCTGTCAAACAAGACCACGAGATTAAAATCAACACTTTGTTTTGTAATATTGTGGTGTGGTTTTGGGAAGTATTTCAGTTAACAGTACCAGCAGGTATTAAATAATATATCTAAAAAAACAGTGTTAAATAATATTAGCTGGTTTCTTTTTCATTTTGTTTGGTTGTTTTCTTTGTAGAAAATAACATAAAAAGTTTTAGTTTGTATTTAAATAACCTATGTCTTCAAAAAAATATAAAAAGAGAGGCAACAGAGATGCTGTACCTTTGTTTGGTTTTGTGAAAATGTTCATTGAGTGTATTAACTTTACCTGAGCTTAAAAGAGCGTTGATTCATACTCAAACAGCTTACATGGGGAGAGGATGTGGACCTGCTCATGGATCCCAAAGCTGCAGTGAATGTCTCTACATTACTTGGTCCTAAAGACTCTGGGTAAAAAAGAAACATCAGGCAACACTGATTTATAGTCTAGATTTTTTCTATGTTAAAGGTTTGATATCCCAGTCAAGGCATTTTTAAATGACCGAGTTCATTACCAAACTGAACTCCCAGTTGTTGGAGTTCTGCCTGTAATTTTGTTAGCCACAACCGTAATGTTAGCCAAAGGGTTGGAACCAATGCATATTTTACAACCAAATTGCATAGTTTGTAAAATTAATAAAAGGCCATGAACATAGTTATTATGACCAAAGACAATACTTTTTTCTAACAATCCTAAATGGTGTTCACAATTAAAGAGTGACTCTCTTGGATGCAGTGTCATGTGAACTGCTCTGTGCAATCTTCAAAAGGAACTTAAAACAACTGCCATCAACGTTTAAGATGTTTAAAGGAAAACTAAGTTTATAAGGCAGCAAAATAATTTTGAATTTGTTCAAAATTAATTGGAAACATGAGCCTTGCATTACATTGAATCTTACGACTCTTTTTGAAGGAAAAAATGTGTTTTTAAAAGGAAACATATGGCACTGATTGTAATTGGTATTTGAAAAAAAAAATTTGATTGGGATATCAACAGTTAATGAGGTGATATATATACCAAGCAAAGAGTCAATTGTCTGAGTGATGGTGCTGGGGGGGTGGAGCTCCTTATAAATAGCTGACAGTAATCGCTCCTTGTCCTCCAGTGAGCTGATATGGAGGATGTCCAGAGTGCTGACATCAACTGAAGCTATGTCCGATCCACACAGTTTAGCCTCTAAGAGAGAAGAAAGTAAGCATTGTAAACAAACATACATGAAGAAGTTCTTGATGTTTTCCAACCAACTATCTTTTTGCTATATGACAAAGAAAACAGTCCTAACAATGACAGATTTGTATAAAAGGAAATCATGTTATGATTCATTACAAAGCATTATTTTTGCAATGCACAGTTTATGAGAGTCAAAATATGTGTTACCTCTGATGAAAGGGAGACATTTTTCCAGTCCAATACTGGTAAACCACTGGCAGACCTCCTCTGTGCTCAGCTCACTCAAGGATTTGGCCTTTTGCTTGTATAAATCCTGGAGAGAGAAATCCTGCATACAGGAAATATCTTTTAAGAATCACTGCACTGCAAAACACCATCTACATAATCATCCCTCTAAGCAAATAGGTTATCTATACCATCATCTGTAAATAATAAGAATTACTATGACAGTACATTAGTCACTAATCTAAAATGTTATCCATTTATCCATGGCCTTATGTTTATATATGGTTTGCTGAACTACAGGGATAAGATGTTTTGTAAAGCTGGAACAATTCTAATGCAAATACACATTTTTAACCAGAATAAACATGTAAGTTCTCTAATATAATAGAATTACATGACTTTCACAATTTTACTAATTTCTTACTCTATAGGAGTTAATGGGGTGTTTCCCCTGACAAAGAAAAATGCAGGATATGATTCTTTCACTTTTGCTACTTGACTGAAGCAACACTTCAAGATAAAGCAGGAAAATTCCAGAGCTGTCATTGACTGCGACACCGCCTTATTGGAAATGTGTATGACTGTGCTGTATAAGCAAGCTAAGACATGTTATACCTAGTTAAAATATTTGCCATGCAATAAAAACACAAACAGCCTTGAGTACTAAAGCAACCTTGTTGAGAAGTGTTTTCTTGGTTTCGTAGGATCATCATCTCTCCCTCTGATGAGGGATTATTACAGTTCTACTAATACGAATTAGTATTTTAATGATTTATGTGAATATTTCCTTTACCAGGGTTGAAAGATTTAATACAAGACAGGAATGTGAATTTTGGAGGGATTTTTTTCTAATCCTCTTTGGGACAAATATATTTAATAAATTGCTACCAGCATTTGAATAAAATTCCTTAAGTTACATAAAACCAAATATAATTTAGTTGATATTCATCAATATACTTTGTTAAAATTGACTGGATGTTCGATCGAATGCTTCGAAAATAAGTTGATTTCCTGAAATAGATCCCCATTATGCATAGCCCATCTATTTACTATTGGATTAAGGTTGGGGTAACTTAGAAATGTAGCAGTAACTTGTTTTATTCATTCCAGCACCGTTCTTTACGCGTATCAGATCTGTGTCCTGTTTCTAAGGGTTCTACCTTCTGTTTGGGTTTATTCTTAGTTTCTTTGATTTTGTAGTTGTTTTCTGTCAGTGTTTAGTTCTTGAGTTACCCTCTGTTGCCCCCTTGTGATTGCTTCCTTGGCTTCCCTCTAGTTGGTTCCACTCACACCTGCTCCCAATCTGCTGATTAGCCTGTTTTGGTTCAGTCTCTCTATATATAAACCATCTCTGCAGTCACTCAGTGCTTATTTGTTTCTGTTTAGTAACCTCCCCATCTCTGGTTCCCCATGTGAGTTTTCCCTGACATATCCTATTTTTTGGTTCTCAGTATTTTGTATTTTGGATATCTGCCTCAAGTGTTCTGATAAAATCTACAAGACTAACCCTAGCCTCCTGATCTCTGCATTTGGGTCTTCAAAAACCTCCTATCAACCGAGACACTGTTGAGGCTTCCAGTTTTTAAAAAAAGAACCTGACACAAACTATTAACCTCAAAAGAAAGGGACTTTGTTGCCCTGTACAAAAACAATAAATGAGCCATCCAGCCTGGAATTCATCCTGTATGGGAAGGTGCAGAGACATCAGAATGAATATCCACAGTTAATTGGTTTAAAATGAACACAAACTGTTGCAACATGAAGGAAGCAGGACACTTTTAGGCTTGTCTGAAATGCGTAGCTTTCCCAGTCAACAAAATTCCTACAAAATTCAAAGGGTCTATTTGTGGATGTAGTAGTTTATATTCTACTGTTTTCAAACAGATGAACATCTGAAATTTTTTGAATGCAAAACATCTGTCTTCGTTAGAAGTTTTAGAGACAAAGGTTTTGTAGTCAAAACATGTCAGGTGTGTTTTAGACAAACAGTTGTGTCTCAAACCAGAAGATCAATAAAGACCACAACATAACCACGTTCCATGGTCAAATGCTACATATTCGACTGTTTAATCACAGAGACATGATAAATGTTTAGAGGAGTAGAGGTGAAGTCTTTAAACTGAAGTATAATGGAATTGTTGGAAATTACAGGGATAGCAGCATCATGCGACTCGGGCCCTTAGAAAGATTAAGTAATTTTGTTTTAATAAAAGAAAAATGTTACTTAGAAACTTAATATGCAAAGGCTTGATGCTAAAATACTAAGACTTCATTGTCGTTGTTAATAACTGGAGCGTTTGGGAGAGTGAAATTGACCATACGGGGCAAGCAACATCTATTGTTAGTGTGATTATGCTAGCCGTTAGGTCCAACTTTGGATTACCTTTTCAGCGAAGTTTCCATTCTGATCCAACGAGTGAGGCTCATGAGAAGCTGGACAGAACACATACAGCAGCAACAATGTTAGTGAGGCAGATTTGAATCACCTATTTCTATAGAAAGAGAGTTATATATGTTATTTATGCATGGTTTGAATGTAGACTCACCAATGGTTATACGCCTTTTTTGAGGCGATCCATTTCTTTGATCTGTAGTTTGCGTTGATGTATGGAAAGCAAAGGTCTGAGATGTTGTTTCACCAAGACTGCAGGAGCGCATTAATGGTCGCTGTAATAAAAGTTCCTGATTACATTCTGATAAAAAAAAAAAGATTTACTCAAATACACACAACAAAAATAAAAATGCAAAACTTTTGGTTTTTCTCCCTTTTTTAATGAGATTAACTTAAAGATGTAAAACTTTTTCCGCATACAAAATAAAACTTTCCATCAAATATTGTTCACAAACCAGTCTAAATCTGTAAAAGTGAATAATTCTCCTATGCTGAGATAATCCATCCCACCTCACAAGTGTGCCACATCAAGATGCTGGTTAGACAACATGTTTAGTGCACAGTTGTGCTTAGACTGCCCACATTAAAGGGCCACTCTGAAAGGTGCAGGAATTGTGCTATTGTGTATGTGGAAAAAGTTTTAGGGCTTGGAGTTCACCTCATAAAAAACCATAGGAACCATAGGAGACCTTATATTTATATTGGCTTGTAGTTGAGGGATAATTTTATATCAAACTTTTCCCCTAAAGCACAATTGAACATTTCAAATGACTGATCTTTAGATGTACTAAAGCTTTAACATACTATGATTCACCTGCAGAGTGAGTATCTGAAAGGCAACATGAAGAATGAGGAGAGGAGCTTTGATTGAAGTCATACCTTACGGAAGGTAAACGCATCCATGAGGGCTGTGGCAGGGAGCTGGTCAAGTTCTGTCTTCAGCATGTTGGAAGAGATTTGATCTTTGGCGCTCAAGTCATCTAAACAGAGGTACATAATCGACATTTTTAATGAAACAGATGTTTTACATATAGTTGTTATAATTTTAGGACAGTTGAATGCTATACCCTGTTACATTGCGCCACATATGTGTTCATGCCTACTGAAATAATTTGCATTCTGTCATGTCAATAACTGTAATTGAAGGGGAATTTAATGGGATGTTATTTTATAAAGCTAAGAAAGAAAAAAAATCAAGATTAGAATATTATCATGAAGAGAAAAGAATTAAAATAAATATTTACAAACAATAAAATGAAGAGTCAGAATCTGATATCTGCCTTGATGAAAAGCTTTTAGACGTTAGCAAGCTTAAAATATGGTAATTAGCATTGGACAATTACCCCTCAGCAGGTTTTATTTTTGATGGTGCATGCTTCTTGGTAAAGTAAGTGTACCTTACTGCATTGTTTAAAAACTGTATGTAATTTCTTCAGACTTTAAAATTTAGAGCTGTAGCTCATGTTTTTGGTCTTTTGTAGCACCAAATTCACAACATGTCATCTTCAGAAACAATTCAGTGAAACTGTTTGGATTAACATGTTTATCTTTGAATAATCAAAAGGTTTTTTTTATCAATTATGTCAAAATGCACTATTTATCACTTGCCTGATATGGTAATAGGTCTTTGGCCTGGTAAAATTGGCAGCTCTGGGTCAACTTTTTAATGAACAGGTACTGGGCATCCTCTCTAATGTAATGTTCAGATCATATTTTCTTTTAATTTTTTCCATTCTTTGCTTCAGGATATCAATATTAGCTACCTGCAATGAATAACAACAGGTAACCAATCGCTTTAGTATTTGGTGTTGCTTTTGTTATGCGTAATAACATAAAACCAAAACATCCATGGCTTACATTACAGCACACTGTATTTTTCTGTGGTGGCATAAATTTTTATCTAGCCCTCCCTGCTTTTGTACCCGTATATAAAATCTCACCAGCAGAATAGCTGTTTTCGATGGCCTTAGAGGTTTGTTAGAGAACACCATTGAAAAAAAATATCATTGAAGGCAGCAGATAGGTCCCAAAGTCACACTCTATATTATACGGATTACAGCCTTTCAGCAGTGAAACATGCTGGTACCGTCATGCTCTGAGAATTATTTCCCTCTAGCAAGGAAGGAGAAGTTGCAACTCATGGGGAGGAGTATGGAGCTAAATTAAGGGAAATACTGAAATAAGGATTAGTTGGGTTTATGTAAGTGCAGAACAACCTGAAACTGACAGAAAAACCCAGGGGTCAGCAACCTTTACCTTAACGCCTTTTGCCTTTGGATCCAGCTAAAGAACAAAAAAGCAGGATTGTTTTCTAAAACAAACAGCTAATTTTATAATATTTACCATAGTAAAAATTGTAAATAATTTTATAAGAAAGAAAAATTATTCTACTTTTTATTTGGTTTAAAAAACTAATTAAACAAAGCTGAGAATGAATAGTGTTTTTAATGGGGGGTTCAAATTTTATAGGAAATTAAGATATAAAGAAAACCATTTGCACTTGTTTAAACTAGCCCTTATTATTAGATTAAAGTATCAAAACTTTGCTTGATTCTTTATCATTTTTGGTCAAAGGTACTAAGAACCACTTGTAGTGTCGGAGCTGCAGGTTGCAGACTCACATCCAACAACAAAACCAAAAAAGCAGAAGTAAAAAGTAAAAACGCTGCTTAGTTTTCCTTCATCACTTTCCCAAATGATTAGCCTCCACTTTATATTGTTATATTGAGGCTAAAAATGCAAATGGAACTAATCTGTAGTCAGACTTTTTTTCTTTCTGGACCTGGATTATCCAATTTAGCCAAAAACAAAAGCTGCAAATCAATTAAAGAAGATACTACATTGAATGGATTCATTGGGGCCAAATATAGAAAAAAGAGATTACTTGTAAATGAAATATGACTGTCCTGTAAACCCATGGTTCAATATTCTTTACACTTCTGTGTGCTTTGTGTTATTCTATCCTATTAATCCCTGTAAAATCCTCCATGTTTGCGGATGTTTCAGAGAAAAATGTTAATCAGTTTAAAGGGTATAAATATATTTTTTTTACAAGGCACTGTAGATGAAGTTGCTGAGCAACCAACCAAACAGAAGCCTGTCTGTCTGGTGGATGACATGCTTCTCTCACAGCCCAAATTCTTTCCCACAGGCAGTGCTTTTTCTTACATTGCCCAAAATTCACTTGGTCATTTATTTTCTCCAATCATAACAAGCAAGACGAATGAGGCTGGAAACATGACATCAAGCTAAGCCCCGACTTTTCATGCCACACATGGCAGACGTACTGATGTGACTTCAGCAAACTAAACTTCAATAAATTTAAAGGTGGAAGGATTAGGATGAAAAAAGCAGTTGTCTTTTTGAATACGCTAGCCAAGAAAAACATCATCACACGTTGGTACATTTTAGCACTCTCATTTCAGCTTGCTGTTGCTATTAAGCTAGTTTGACATGTATAGGGGATGAGATGGAGGCAGAGTCAGATAAGATGGTGTAATTGGTTTATGTGTGTCAGCACTGGAATCTTGTCTGGGTCCTGGAGCGGCAGAGGAGCAGAAAAGGAGGGGCAGTTGACTAACAGTCTCTTCATCACCAGGCACAAAGAGTACATGGCCTGCAGCAAAGCAGAGTCAGAATCTAGTGCATGCCAAGCTACTGTCTTATCGAGGCCAGGCTAAAGGGAATGAGTGTTGGCTACATCTAAAGACACATGGGAGTACCTTCACATAGCTGACCTCAGACATTACACAGTGCCTTTGAAATACTGAGAAAATAATTTTGTCTTACCCTATGACCTCTGTTAGCTTTATAAAGTCCTAAATTATGCAAATGGCTTTATACCTGTCACAGAGATTAGAAGGGCATTATTTCAATTATTTATTTATCATATTGGATTAAAAAATATATTTTCAGCCATCCTTGGATCAGATTTTCTTCAGACTAAATGGAGAGCATCTATAAATGACAATTTTTCCAAGTCTTGGCACAGCTTCTCAGTTAGATTAAGGATAATCATAACAATAATAATAATAATAATAATAATAATAATAATAATAATAATAATAATAATAACTGAACTTTATTGGTCTCACACTGCAGAAAATTCAGGTCTGGGGGGGGCTGGGTTCAAAATAAAACATCACCCAAACTTTGATCGTCGATAAATTATATATATATATATATATATATATGTTGGGGACCGCTGCTCTAATGGGCATTCTTTAAGGATTGTCCTCCATTTAGCTCCTTTTAGGTTCTGATCAAGTTATTTTTCAGACTCCTATCAGGTTTGCTTCAATGATTTTCTGGCATTAAGCTTCATCAACCGTCTTCCTATCTTCTCTGACACGCTTCCCTGGCCCTGATGAAGCAAAGCAGCCCCAGAGCATGACATTATCATGTTCTACCACGGTGGTATTTTTACAATGACTTCCAATTTAATCGTAAATGCCTTATACAGTACATTGATGTGCATGTAAACCATGAGTTCATATAAACACTTTTCTGTGATTCTATATGATTTATTGTGATAAATATAATAAAAATAAAGGAAAAATTAGACCTCTTAAAGTGCAAATATTAGCAATATTTAATCATTCACAAGTCCGAGTTGCATGTACTTCCATAACAGCAGAAACAAGGGACATCGTATTGTTCATGTTGTTCATGACGCATTTTGACTCACAGACAGACACAAGATTAACAAAGTGAAGCTTTAGAGTCATGACATTTCAGCACGTTTGTGTGATGAATAGGGAAAAGCGATGCTTATCATAGGTTTGAAAAGAGAGTAAGCTCTTTGAGAGAAGATGGAGGGAGGGGAGCATGCTGAGTCACAGCAACCCAAAACCTGGGAACAGGCTGAATAACTACACTTGGGGAATAAGCATACAATAGCTAAAAGGAGACTCCAACAAAGGGGAACTTCTGCAACTCCCAAGTGAGGCGTTCTAGGTACTGTAGCCATGTCACATAATGACAGCAATTTTAGTTGAATGGGGAACAAAGATCAAAACAGAAAGGAAACACATGAGTCTGAACATCTGGAAGAAGAAACATATGGTGTGGATCTGGGTGACATTTACTTCTCAATCCGACTATTCCTGAATGGGAACAAAAATAAAGAAATATAAGAACCACTGAAATACTCACCCACGTTATGCTCAGTTGATGACAAAAAGCTTATTGCTGTTCTGTTACCCCCTGCGAAAAAGAAGACAAACAATGGAAAACAATTATTTTGATTTAAAAGAACTCAGCCATTTAAGGAAAACTAAATTATTTGTAAAGTAAAAACAAAAATTAGTAGGTTAAGTACTATACAGTGTAAGATTCCTGCCCTAGTTTTTTTTTCTGCTCATGTTTGTTTCAGAAAACTAACATTATCTATCCAAACTAGCTGTGAATGCTAATTTTGACCTTGACATTAGCTGTTTTAAACAGCTGCTTGACCATTCCCAAAAATCAATTAGCAAGAAAAAGAATACACAGTGGAGATGGATGTGATCTACATCAGGGGTGAAAAACCTTGATGCACAGGGTAAACATGTCCCTTTCCAACTTATTTTTAAGACAAAAAAGACAATTCCAAACTTCTTTAAATATTCTATTGGTGATAAGAAAAGATAAAGATAAGACAAGATAAGATAGGACCTAAGAAAATTAATTATATGAAAAGAACACAATTTAGCACAAAGTTAAGCTTTACAGCAGAAGAGAAAAGAAACATTATATATTATAAAGGATAGATAATAAAAATAAAGGATAAAAAAGGATAAATAATGTGCATTTGTTATTATTAAGAATAAAATCATGGATCACCTAATCAGCAAGCTATTATAATTACTCCAAAATCTCTCCTTTATATGAACATTTTAGACTCACATTTCTTTGATAACTTAGGAAGTGGAGGGACTTTAAAAGCATTTGATAAGAATCCGGGTCTTGATCTCTCTTTATCCAGATTTCTAGGAACAACAGACTCCTTTCTGTCTTCCAACTCATCACTGTTAAGGTTGCTCTCAGCATTTTCAGCCAGTGTAAATCCTTTCTCTGATTCTTCTGTTTCCTCGCTACAACTTGTATCCTGGTCTCCAGCAGGAGATCTTCTGTCACTGCCAGATGAATGAGACACACATTCATCTAAATTGCTGTCAAAGAACCGGCCGTTATCAACAATATTAGAGGGAGTTGGTGGGATCAGATTGATTATGGGTGTTGTCAGGAGGCCTCCAGAACCAGATGTTCCATCAGGATAATTTTTAGACACTGGCTGAAATTGTTCCCCTGCTTCATTGCCCTGTTTGTAGCCAATGGCTGCTGATGGTTCAGCCTGGGGCTTTAAAACAAGTGTGGACAGAGCTGTTGGTCCTTTCTTTTTCAGAGCTCTTGAACAGGCTGATGCAGAGCTGAACGAGTGGGCCATGCTGTTCCTCAGGGTCAGGGGGTCCTCATCCCTTAGGCTGAAGCTGCTGTTATCTATTCCCAGATCCTCCACTGTAATATGGACCACATTCTTCTCACCTGATCCCTGTTCATCCAGGTGTGAATGCAGGCGACCGTCATTAATCTTCATTTGCTTCTCCTTCTTACCACATAGACATGAGCAGAAGAACAGTCTGCATGAAAAGTGTTCACTATTTCTCCAGGTTTTCCTATGCGGACGTTGTTGCTCAGCTTTTCCAGTCGCCATAAGGTGAATTGACTCTTCATTCAGCAAGATAAAAACAATTTATCCACATCGAAAGAAGAGTAAAACCTCGGTCCACTCCTCTAGGATACTGAAACTGCACACAGAAAGCAGTCAGCAGCAACGTGTTGCTTAGGAAAACCATGGAGGAAAAAAAGCTCCAATTCATGCTCTTGAGGTCAGGTGAACACTTGAAATGAATGCTAGCCTCAACGAGTATCCTTTGATATGATAAACAGCATCATTGCAAGCACTTTGGTTTATGCAGACAGATAAGACAGCTGTATCATGATAAATGTATAGATTAACTCACAGCTAGAAAAACAAATCTCTCACACTTAAAGCAGTCATAAATCTGTTTGCACTGATATTCTATTGTTTATATTTATTTGAGAAATCCGTATTTCGCTTTTGTGAGGGTGGTTTGCAGGGGATCTTGTGAGAATAGGGGCAGCGGATGTGTAGCTCACACAACCCGTATGGCATCAGATGACATTTCCCTCATTCCACAGGAGTTGTCCTGTTTTCTGATACTTGATGAATCATTCAGCATCAGCTTAAAACTGGTTTACTGTACCACCCACACCGAAGGCTTTTATGAAAAGATAATATCCATGCTTTTTTTTTTGTTTGTTTCTCACGCCCATGACGTGACAGCAGAGTGATAGGAATAAATACTTCACCAGTATGCATGTCCTGCCTTGGAGGCTTTCTCTGGAGAGAAATTAAGCTGTTTGGCTTCTGAGATTTGGTATTTCTATCCTGTTTCCTGTTTCTTCACAAATAATGATTAATTTGTTATGCCAAACACCAGGTCAGAAGCAAAACTGTTTATCTTTCTACTGTAGGGTTTAAAAATGTACTTTGCTACAAAGAAAGCTATAAAACACTTTTAAAGAATTACCTCATGCTGCAATTAGAGCTGCAAATATTTTGGGTTTGTCTCAGCTTTGCACATCTAGGGACTGGAAACTTTTCCTTGCAAAATCGCTCAAACTCGTTTGGATTTGATGAACTGAACCCTGCCACAGATTTTCAATTGGATATATGCCTGTACTTTAAATTCAATTTGTCTTAAATATAAATTGTTTATTTGGTAAACCAACTCCTCCGGCTCCATGTTCAATCTGTAAAAGTTTATAGGCCAGGATTTCCTTATACTTAACGGTATCCATCTTCCTTTTCACCATGATCAGATTCCCTGTCCCTGTTCAAAAACAAATTATCCTCCCTGACATTAGGTTGCTGACCTAACCATATCTAATTTTTGAGATGGTGAGTTAAACTGTATGTGTAGCGTAAGTTAGTTAGTATCACTGTGTTTTCCATGCAAGCCAAAAATAGCAAATACTGTGTCCATTGTATGGCCTACTGTTTTATTTTAGCAATGTTTGTATATTTCACAGAGCCCAGATTTAAGGGTGACAAAAAGTGATACTGCTAAGATATTCTCCCTCCTGAGTTGTGCATCTCTGCAGCTCCTCCAAAGTTCCTATAAATGTCTTGGCTGCTTCTCTTATGATAGTTGACCTTGTCTTCTCTTTTAGTTTGTTAATATGTTAATAGGAATATACTGGCAGTGGTTTCAAAAGTACACACATTTGTTACTTAAGTAGAAGTTTAATAACAAAAGTTGAAGTATCAACTTGACTTCTTACTCAATTAAAAGTGAAAAAGTATTTGCTCCAAAAACTACTTAAAGTATAAAAGTATAAAGTTAGGGTGACCAAACGTCCGTATTTCCCGGGACATATCCGTATTTCACGTCCTGTCCCGGGCGTCCCGGGTTTTTTTTAGAAAGTGAGGAAATGTCCTGATTTCACTGCGCACGACGCTCCGTGTGACGTAATCCCTGAGCCGCGTCAGTGCGGGTAGCCCTGTTCTTAATCAGAGGCTCTGGTCGAAATCCTGGGCTGCATCCTCCAAGGACGCGGTCTACCTAGACTAGATCCTTCGAAGTCCTTGACAATAAGGAGGCCGGAAGAGTTTTGGCTGTAAATTCGAACAGGTCCTCCCTTCGGCGGGTTTTACCGCCGTATGCTCTGTTGCTTAGCAACCGTGAAAGTTGACACACAAAGCAGGAAAAGAATGAATACCGAGGTTTCCAAAACTGTTTGTTTATTTATTTATTTTTTTTAAAGTTAAAGTGAACAAAGACTACACTCACAAGAATCCAGAGAGGAATAAAGATTCCAACCACCGGGAGCAGGAACAAATAAAATCAAATGTAATGATAGAAAAATTTTAGTCATTTAAATAACCTGCTGCTGTCATTCTGCACATCTCTGATGTTGCTGCTATTTTCAAATATCCATTACTGTAAAAATGTCCATAGCTGCATATTGGTTATTTATTCTCCAGTTTTATATTGTTAAAACACTTAACAGAATTTTATTTTTTATATTTTAACTCTTCCCTATAATGTTATTTTTATACATTTTTCTAAGGTCCTCATTTGTGTGACCATTTTCAATAATCTTTCTGCTGCTGTAAATTTGGGGGATTTTCTATTCTATTCTATAAAAGGGGTAGAAATATATAAGTAAATCTAAACAATGTATGTATAAAAAAATATCTGCAAAATCTCTAATATTCAACTACAAAAAATACTTAGTTAAGCATATTGTGCAAAACAACAATAAAAAAATTAAACTCCTATCAGATTTATAGTTCCCACTCTGCAGATCTATTAGAATCTGTCCTTAAATTACAGCCAAACTCAACATTACCGCCAAATATCTGACTCAATAACCATTCAAACAACTATTTTCATTCATTTCAGACGGAACTATTCACAGACTTGTATTATATTAAACTGAACTTCCAATTTTCACCACTGTTCTGCGCCAAGTAACATTTCCTTTGATCACGGAGCAAATCCCGATGATGAGACATTTGTTCTTTCGATCAAGCCCGACCAATGATCTGCTTTGGATGGCGCACATGACGTGAAATTGATATTTATAAACATTAAACCGTAATGTTTTGTTTTTTTTAAATGTAAGGAATACAAAGTACAGATAATTGTGTGAAAATGCAATGAGTAGCAGTCAGAAGTAGGAAGAAAAATATGTAATGGAGTAAAATATAGATACCTAAAAAGTGTACTTAAGTACAGTAACGTAGTATTTGTACTTTGTCACTTGACACATTAGTTTGGTGGAGAGTGGTGGCCTACTGGTTAGGGCATAGAGCTTGGAATCCTAAGGTTCTGAGTTTGAGCCCCACTCCCGCAGTCTGGCATTCTGGGTTTCTGAACAAGACCATTAACCCCCGATTGCTCCCTAGGCGACCCATGATGGCAGCCCCCTGCTCCCCAAGGGGATGGGTTAAATGCATAGGTAAATTTCTCCAATGTGAGATCAATAAAGTTCAATTTCTTTCTTTCAATTTTTTTTTTTTTTTGTCATCACTGTAAAATCTGAGTTTTTTTGTGTTAAAACGTGTGTGCTGGTGTTGGGCTTTAGGTAAGTCCTACTAGAAAATTTGATGTAAAAGTGCTTTGCTTTTTTAATTTTCTTTTTTTGTTCTTTATTCAAATCAGAATGTTGCAAAACAGCCCACTCTAGACAGGGTGCCATTTTCGTTCTTCCCCTGTATTGACATAATTTGTGGAAGGGTCCTAGCATTCGTCTGCATTGTTTTTAACATCAAGCTGATCTTAACTTAACTTAACCAAAAGGGGTGATTCCAACGATCAGAGACTCAGCTGCAGACATTCCTTTGCATAGCTTTGTGAGACATAAAGGGGGGGTATAAAAAGAATGTGTGGGTTTAGAACATGCTATTTTTTTTTGTTAAAAAAATATTATACATGAAGTTGAAGACAATTCCAGAAGTATTCTTTAAGTAAAATGCAATGTTTTAACTCCTATAAGTTATGTTTAAGAATATTTTGTAACACTTGATTTTTAGGGGTATAATCGTAAAGGAGTCAAAATACGAGTAACCCATTTTTTTTTGTAGTTTTCAAAAAAAAAAAATTAATTTTATTATCCTTCAATTAATTACTCCTGCTCTACTTACTGTAATGTTGGTTTATACCTTGAAACTACATTGTGATCTTGGCATGGCAAAATGTGGATGGGTTCTAAAGGTGTTAATAATTTTGCAAGGGGTTGTGATCCTGACTAAATTATAAAAGGGTTGATTTAATATGTTTTGGCTTTGGATTTAAGGAAAAAATTATAATTCTTACTAGGGCTGGGTAAAAAAATCGATTTAATCGATTTTGAATCGATTCCTTTACATTTTTGCAAAATCAATGTCTAGGGAATAAGATCGATTAGTACATGACGTTCACAATCAAATGAGCAGGAAAGATGCTCTCAAGATTACTTCAAGCCAGACAGATGCAAATATAGCAAATAGGTTGACTGAAGACATTAACAAATGGGGGCTGACCAGATAATGAAGATAATGCAGCTTATGCATGTGTGAGTGAGTGAGGCTTCACTTTTTCACTTTTCACAAACAAGTTTGCACTTATGAGACTGTTTTGTTCACATCTCAAGTTTAAACTATCTGATTTACAAGTTTGCACTTTGTGTTTAATATGACAGGAAAAAATAAAATACATGAGTATTTTGAAACACAGTTGAACCACTTCCATTATTGCAAAAACAGATCGAATCGAAATGAATTGATTTAGAACTTTATTATTCAAAATCAAATTGAGTCAGGACTTTGACAAAAATACCCAGCCCTAATTCTAAAACATGAATGTTTTCCAGCTTAGGAAGTGCCAAAGCCTTTGTTGCTTGGCATTATTTACAGCACAGAGTACTGATTTTAGCTGGCAGCCAGCCAACTGTTGACAGTCTTAGCGAAAGACTACTAAAGTCAGGTGAAAAAACCTTTTATTACTCTGTCATGCAGAGACCCACATGATGGTATCTACTTCTCCAGATAATCTTAAGAGAACATCCTGACCTCAGGTTTAATGGGAGAGACTGAAATTATGTGGGTTCAGGGTGTTTCGGGTTTGAGTTAGCAGGCATTGATGCAGGTTGGAAGATGGATTGATCAAATAAAAGGCAGACAATACCACTTTAAAATCAAATTTCTGGTTGTTTATGTAATAATGTCCATAATAAGGTTCTTTGACTTGATCCAGTTCAGTGCTG